ATGCTTTTTGGGGAAATGGGATAGTCATTGCTCTAGCTATAATTGAGGATTTTTTTGCAAGGCTCTATTTCAAAGCATTTATTAGTTATATGGAATCAAGATTCTACTCACATGCAAGTCTTCCCAATTGTTCTGCTGCCCATTTACTCAAAAATAGTTAGGGACAGTGACCCTTAACAATATCAGAGTCTACTCACTGAAATGATTATATGTTAGAAATATTTATTAAACCTAATTCCAAAGGCTCCAGTTTATCATAATGTATGCTAGGGATGAGTGAAAATATCTAAATTTAGCAAATTTGTTTAATTGCATTTTTTGATCTTTCTTCCTCTCTCTCCTTGAATTTTTAAAATGTTTGTACTAAAATGTCTATGCATCTAAACACATGCACTTTTCTTTGAATATTTTATCTATGATTCATGCTGTTTACCAATAATTCCCCTACAATTTTTTTGTACACTTTTTCATGAGTAGGCATTTTTGTGCAGGCTTTTCCCCAATATGCTTTTCTTGAATTTGAAAACTGCATTGTGAGATTTAGAAAGATTGCATTTTTCAATGATGGCTAAGTTAATGTATTGATAATAAATATGAAATTCTTACTTATTCTTACTCTACAGTAATGACCCAAAGAAAATGTGTTAGTTGTAATGGAGTGTTACTTGACCAAAATAAACAAATGAACATTGGACTGAAGGTAGGTCTGTATACAGCAGTTTTCCCAAATTGTAGATAGTAGCAAAGACCATATAATGGTTGCCTGAATTTTTGTAGCCTAGATAATGTGATTCTACTCCAGAGATTAAGGTAGTGATACCTTCCAGTTTCTCCTACAGACATCAAGCACCATGGTACTATTGTGCTCTTCAGTGAACTTTGGCAAAATTCATGGTTTCTTGAAATTCTGCGAAAGTGTTATGAGTATCTAAGCCCATTATTTTAATTGTCATTAGTATGAGGCATAATATTCAGATAGGTTTATGATATATAAAATAATTACATCTCCTTATGGTATGTGATCTTATATGATTCCAGATGGAGTTGGCCAATGGGACTGCAGCCCAGGAATTCATTTTGCTGGGATTTGGAATCAATCAGCAGAAATGCTTCTTGCTGCTTGTTTTCTTGATTGTCCTTTATGTGCTAACGTTGGTTGAAAACAGCACCATTATAACCCTGGTCTTTCTAGATACTCATCTGAGCCAGCTTCCTATGTACATCCTGTTGAGCAACTTTTCCTGGCTGGAGATGTGCTATGTGACCACCACTATTCCCTGCATGCTTTTTGACCTTGCAACCCATAACCAGGTTGTCTCCTTCCATGCTTGCTTCCTCCAGTTCTATCTCTTATTCTCTCTTGGCACCACTGAATTCTTCTTCCTCTCAGCCATGGCTTTAGATCGATACTTAGCCATCTGCCACCCATTACACTACCAGACCATTATGTCCCCACATTCCTGTTACATTCTTGTAACCGCTTGTTGGATCCTTGGTTTCCTGGGGTATATAATACCTGTTGTTTTGATCTCTAAGTTGTGGACCTAACATTATTGACCATTTTTATGTGATCTCATTCCACTTCTGTCTTTGGCTTGTCCTCCACTTGGAAATGCTCCTTTGATTTGCCAAATTATCGTGCACATTCTATTTTTAAGTAATGTATTATTTGTTATGCTATCCTATGGCATTGTGATTTACACTTTGATGAAATCCTCCAGTAAAGGTAATTGTAGGAAGGGCTTCAACACTATATCTATGCATCTTTTAGTGGTGACACTTTTCTACAGCACAGTAGGAGCAATGTATCTAATTCCAGTTGGAGAAAGGTATTTAAAGATTAATAAGTCAATGACACTTTTCTATGCTGCCATTATACCTTTTCTCAACCCCTTGATCTACTGTCTGAGGAATGATCAAGTGAAAGAGGCACTGCACATGTTATTGAGAGAAATATCAGGGTTGATGATGTCAACAATCACAGTGTAAAAGAGGTCAACCTCTTCTGCTGGTATAAAATCCAAGTTATGTTAACTTTTCTGCTTACATAAGAGGTGATGTAGCCCTGGATGCATATAGTTTCCCTCCCTATTTCTCCTGAACGTTGTTTCATGAAATAATCAATGCAAAATCCTAGATTTTCCTTGACCAGTCAGTTTCAAAGAAATGACTTACTACTTGGTTAATGGATGGCTCTAAAGATTGACTCTGAACAAATCACTCCATTCTAATTTGCAACTCTTCTTATCTTGGGATAGTCCAGTATAAGAAGTATATTATTTGAGAAGAAAAGAAAAAGAAGTGGATCTAGACAAAACTTGTTTTCCAGCATGAATTAAATGTGGAACATCTAGATTAAACTATTCCTCTACAATGAAATTAATCTTTGCCAATATTATTGACTATTGATCAAAGTACTGGTGAGAAAAATGCTTTCTTTGCATGGCATTTTCTTACTGCAGGACGTTTTAGCTTCACCTGCAAAATGAACACTATTTTTTTTTTTTTGTACAAATCAGTTTTCCATTTCTTATGGAATTTTAATCTGACTGTTTGTGAAGTGCTTCAGAACAGTTTACATTTTTATTTCTTGTATTATATTCAAAACTGATGACACTCTCATTGTGGATAGAAAAGTGAGTTCTAAAACAAAAACATACAAAGTAGTATACAGTGTTTTGGAACGTCCATGACTTTCTATTAGCTGTGAAACAAACGTTCTTTCATATATAGAAATCTGGGATGGTAGATTGCTCAGCATTTTTGGGACTGATACCTTTTACAGTGTTGACATGGTGTGTAGCCAGTCATTCCTTAGTCAGGAAGATTACCTGACTGATATTTCTTTGATGGGAATGTGCTCTTTGTATGAGAAAAGTCAACAGAAGACAAAGGAGACAGAGACATATGCAACTAAAATAAAGGTTTATTTGTTGTTACATATTTGTATGTATAACAGAATGTAGCAGGACCTAGCTGACCTAGGCTGGTCTAAAAAAAAACTAAGAAGGATTGGATTTAGTTAGTACTTGGATGGGAAATTGCCAGAGGTCCAACAGCTGCAAAGTAGACTGGGAATTAAAAAATATTGGAGACAGCCAAGCAGAGGTTACAAAAGTAGTGACTGTCTTCTATTCT